TTTAGTACTCTTTTTTGTGTTGTTCATTTTCGTCTTTTTTGGGCCCATTTTGTCCTTTTGTAAGGTGCGACTGTTGCGCACGTATATATAAACAAAACAATTGTTTCGCCTTTGTATATCCTTTGATTTTCTTTCCCTTCCCCTTGCTTGTTACATATCTTTTGTTTTGGCGTAGACCTTTGGATTTTTTTTTGTGTGACAAGTCCCTAATTTTTTGATTTGCGAATCCGACCTTGACCGGATCGAGTAATGCCTTGTCGCGTGAGTCCAAATGAAGTCGCTTCGAACTCGTACGCCTGGGCGAGGTTAACTTCTGATTTGTCATTTTAGGCGGTATCATCCTTGATTCAAACGAGGTTGAATTCGGATCCACCCTTTTGGTCGAAGTCATTCTTGACTTGAACATTCGAGTGGGATTAAGTTCAAACTTGCCAACTTAGGCAAAGTCAATTTTTTTATGTGTACTCGAGCGGGGTCGAACTTGGAACCGCCATCTAGAGTGAGGCCCATTTCTTACTTTATTTGAACAAGTTTGAATTTGGAGTCGCCGTTTCGGGCGAAGTCAATTTCTGACTTATTTTTGAACGATTTTGAACTTCCTTTTATTTGACTGTGGTCAGCGGCTGTAAAGGTATTGTTCCGAACGAGGTTGAACTATAACCTACTTGTTTTGACAATTGTCGATGGCCGTAAAGGTGTTAATTCGAGCAAGATCGAATTGTGACCTATTTGATTCGACGATGGCCAGTGGCCGTAAGGGTATTATTTCGAGTAAGATCGAGATAGTAACCTATTATAACTCGAGCGAGGTCAAATTCTTCTTTTGGCGATGGCCATTGGCCTTAGGGGTGTTATTTCGAGCAAAGGTCAAAATGTTAACCCGTTATATTTCAAGCGAGGTCAGGTTGAATTCTTCTTTTGGCGATGACTGTCGGCTGCAAGGGTGTTATTTCGAGCAAAGGTCGAAATGTTAACCCTTTTATAATTCGAGCGAGGTCAAATTCTTCTTTTGGTGATGGTCGTTGGCCGTAGGGTGTTATTTCAAGCAAAGGTCAAAATGTTAACTCGTTGCATCATTGTTATGTAGACTTTTGGAGAACTTTACAGGTCGTCGTACCGTTTATGCGTACGTCAAGGTGAGTCCCGGTGTACTCAATTTTATTTTTGCTAGAGAATATTGGGTGTTCCCTGGGTGAGTCCCAGTTTTGCTTAGCTTCGCTTGCATTGGAGAATACTATGTGTTTCCTGGGTGAGTCCAGTTTGCTTAAATTCTCTTGCATTGGAGAATACTATGCATTTCCTGGGTGAGTCCCAGTTTGCTTAACTTCGCTTTTGCAAGAGTTACTCCCTTTTTTTGATAGTTTTTCAGTACCGAGATATTTCTGTTAGATATGCTACGGTTTAGGGGGTTTTGCTCCGTCATTACTTGTGGGGTGGTATGCTACGAAACCATTTCTGGGGGTGTTTTGGAGGTGTCGGTCCCTCGCTCGCGTGCCCATACGAGTGCTCGCATTCCTGTTTGAATCAACAAAATAGTGAATATAAACCAAAATGGAATCGTCTGTTACGTCGACCTAACGAGCCGGTGAAAGAAGGAGCGGCGTCGTAGGGTTACTCGCTTCGTCTAGTGCTCGAACGATGGTTTTAGATTTGGCGTCCATGTTCGGCTTCGTTGCTAACGACGTCTAGGCTTTTCACGGGTTGGGTCCACCTTACTTGCTGAAGTATTGAAATCGAGTCCCAGTCCAATTTCGTCCGATTTGCACAAGCAATAAGAGAAACATGTCATGCTTCATTCATAAATTATCCAACGTGTGGGGGGATGTGAAAGTAGGGCTGGATGTGCCCACTCTTTCAAAAAACCATACGGCAGGCTGTCGCCCCTTCCCAAGGGGTGGGAATACGGGTCAATATGTAAGGTAGATATGTCAAATTGGGTTATGGTCATGCCAGACAACCGTGATCCTATTTTAAATGTGCATATGTCGTGCCAAACCCATCGTTACATGTGAGGCGTGGGTTTTTGCACAGACATTGGTTACGACTTCTATTTTATGTAGCAACCTGACCTAGATTGGTACGGTTATCTCGAAAGCTTACCTACCGCTCTTTCGAGTGGGTGATTATGCCGATATGGTGAGGCCATGACAGCGTGGTAGTGATATTTCGCTGGTTCTAGATCTAACGGAAACTAAGAAATTTGGCTAAGAAATCCCCATAGACGGCGCCAAATTGTTTGACCAAAAAAGTACTAAACCCTTTTGTTAAACTAATTATCATAGATATGGAAGATAAATCTTAGCCAAACATAATTAACTTTAGATCCAAATATGTCGAGTACAAAAATCGAAGAAGAACAAGAACATGTAATATTTCTTAAGATAATTATCGTATATCAAATGTGAATGATAGGCTTACATCTAAGACAAGTTTGCACCATAATCGTGGAAGCAAAGAAGGAGAAGATAGAGAATTGTTGATAACTAAGAGATTCCTCTTGTTGACTCCATAGTGATGGCTATAAAAAAACCTCCCTTCTAGATCTGGGCTCAACTTCCCATATATATATATTAACAATTTTTTTATTTATCTAATAGTCTTTGACCGGCATACTTTCTTATGACTGTATCCTTCATCGCTCGCCCAAACATTACGCTTGTTCTGTGATGTAAGCTTTCCGACGGTTTGACCCTGGAATGGCCGAGGTGCTCTTTTCTATCACGCCCCGTAGGTATGATTACGGCTTGATCGACCCCTTATCATTCCTTTTAAGAACAACCATTCCATGGTCAGATTTTGACCCATACAATTTCATCACTTCAATCACGTGCACATCTTTAATTTTTTTTTTAAAAAAAATACTAAAATGATAAATGAAAAAAGAAGACTATTTAGGATACGTTTATCTTTACATATTTTAGTACCCAACTACAATTTCTTTCTATAAAAAATAACTAGACATGAAAGCACATGATTCTAGAATGTCATATATAGCCGTTGTGTGATCGACAACATATAAAAGTCGTCCAATGAACCTCAAATGTCGATGAAACTTTTTCGACCACACAATAATATTGTTTACAGCTTGTCTGGTAAATTATAGTATAGATTTGTCCCCTAAGTACGTACTTCAAAAAATAACTTGAGAGGCACACGAACCTATTGAAGGCTTACTGGCAAAAATTTACCACATTAGATTATTAAAATAATTGAATAGTGATATGAAGAAAGGAAAAGGGAATGCTTGAAAGACTAATTAAAAAGAGTTTAGACAATTAATTGCATGAATGTTTGGAATGACAAATTAAAGTCAAAGAAAGTGCTAGGGATTGAGAAAATTACCCGTCTTTACCCCAAACTTATAATTATGATTGAGTGATATGTATTGAGTATTATTTTAATTTGTGACTATTTTTAAAAATAGTCGAGGCTCTATCGGAACAATTTTTATTTTTACGAGACAGGGGTAATGTCTGTGGATACATTATCCTTCTCAGACTTCATTTACGAGATTATATTGAATTTGTTATTGTTGTTATATTGTACAATTTTTAAGATTAATTAAAGTACTTAGTTTAATGTATTCAGCAAGTGCATGCAAGTGTTAGAGTAAAAATAAATCCGGATTCAAGTTTCGGGAATGAAAAAATTCTAATAAAAAACGTTTCCCTTTTAATAAACTTTACGAGATGCAAATTCAAATTAATTAAAACTTTAATACGATTATCGAGTACCGAAGGAAAAACAAAAAATAAAAATGTAACGGATTTGAAGTGAACAGAAAGGAAAAAGCTCCAAATAAAAGTGTGGTTGAGACTGACATAAAAAAAGAAACTCAAATATATTATTAAAGAAATAAGTGGGGAAAGAAAAAAGTCTTGATTGAGGAATGAAGCATATGCAACATAACTTTTGGTGGGCAAGTATTGTCAGTTGTTACCAAAGAGTGAAAATGAAGTCTAATTTCCCAGCAATTTAAGAATATTCTTTATTTCTTTATTTCTTTTTCTGTTATATATTTCGCTTTTGAGAGGGTTAAATAATATACTTTGCACTTTATATACTTATCCATTATTAGGGTTTAGTTTTCATATACTTTGCACATTATCCACTTATCCCAATTCCATTTCTCCAATCCATCTGTGGCCCCAGATAGTAGCCCATCACGTCACTATACCAAATTAACATTTTAATTAATTTTGCAATTTTATTAGCAAAAAACAAGAAAAAAATTACGTGAATTGGAGAGCTTAAATGAAATACAAATTTAGTATTATAATCTTTCTTGAGCTGAAGGACTATACTCTAATATAAAGTTGTACTGTTTTGTCATTTCTAAATTTAAAGTTGTTCTATTTTGTCATTTCTAAGTTGAGTGTTTAAAACTATGACTAAAAGTTTAGTAACTTTCTCATATTTCAGAAATAGCAAAAAATTAAATTTAGTGTCTTTAAAAAGAGAAAAGAAAATAAGAGCAGCCTTTTCTTGTCATTCTCAAATGTCAATCATATTTGTTGTCATTATATCAAAGAAATGAAATTGTTCTTATTTTTTTTGTTTTAAATTCTTAAAAATTTTCACGTAGTTAATTAGGATAATAGAGAATTGAAACGTCTAATTGAAAACAATGATCAAAATACTATTAAAAGTGGTACTTATGGTATTACATTTTGAATTGAGATCTCTTAGTACATTTTGTGTATTTTGCAAATACTAATTTAGCCATGACTATTTGTAAATACCAAACTAAAATAAAGTAAAATAAAATACTACTTTAACTTGAGTATCACACTTTAAATTCTAGTTTTCCTCGTATATCTTCAAAATTTGTACACCTTTTTTTAAGTGAGGCACAAATTCAAAAACAACTTCAATTTTTACTTTGAGTAATTTTTTCATTTTTATAAAACTGAATTTTTAGTGAAAAAAAATAAAAACTGAATTTTTGAATCCCAATAAATCCAATTTAAATACGAACCCCAATAAGCTCAATAAAATGGTATGAGAAAATTTTAAAACGAAACAATTTGGGATCCCGTCTTTTCTTCTCTCTCCGTCACTCTCACCTCTTCTCCGCCGACATCGCAACGGTTCGCCGGAGCATTACGGCGGCGCCACTAACGTCTCAAAACTCACTCCGTTTACTCGCCTGCTTTACTTCCACCGCTTTTAATTAACAGTGAAGTCGCCGTCTTTTGTATTCAGTTTACCGTTGTTTTCGGATTAATCAACACAAGGTACTGATCAGTTCGTAATTTTGGTCTCCGCTTTTATCATTTACTATTTAATTTTTTTTTAATTTTACCATTTCTAGAATCCTCTTATTTCCTCTTCATGTTTTAGATACTTTCGGAGATATTTATAGTGTTTTGTTTCCTATTTTTTTGATTTCAACCTTTTTTTTTCTTTATTGAGTTTTCCAGAAGTTTGGGATTTTAGTGTTGCTATTAACAAAATGAGTAATAAAGCAGATGAAAAAGAAGGAAAATTTTTAGTTTATATTTTGGTTTTCTCTGTCATTTTTGGTGAAATTCCTTTGTTCTATTAACAAAATTAGTAAGGGCATTTTGTGTTGCATTTTCAAGTCATTTTGTTAAGAGTTCAAGTTCTGTCGGTATAAACAGTATTTACATACGTATTTACAAAGCCAGGTTTAATTGAGGTAACTCTATATAATAATCTATAATCTAGAATAAATGGTTAGTAGCCTGTTATAATAGATTAAATTACATTGATGCTGTGAAAAATTCATTACACTGTCAGTGCGTATAACTTAAGTCCTTTTGTTAATAGCAGAGCTTGGTTAACCAGTGCTGTTTTGTCTCAGGAATTCAAGATGATCGGATCTTTTCTCACCAGAGGGCTTGTGTAAATTTCAGACTACCCTTATAAAGTTTTAAAGACTAGTAGTCTTAAATTTTCGTATTGCTTGAGTTGCTAAAGCTGTGATCTTTGATGTGTTGCTCATGCAGGATGGTTTTTGGTTATGCTTATCCAGCTTATGAGTGCTTTAAAACTGTGGAAATGAACAAACCTGATATTCAGCAACTGCGCTTTTGGTGCCAATATTGGTATCTTGCTGCTACATTTGCTTTTTAGACCTCAATGTATCTTGTTTTGAATCTCAGTTCCATCTCCCTACAACTTTTCAGGATCTTAGTTGCTATGTTGACAGTTTGTGAGAGGTTTGGTGATGCTTTTATTTCGTGGTAATCATAACGAACTTATCATTTTAATGTTAAAATCCAGCTTGCTATATTTTGAAAATTATGTGTTGATTGCTAGCTTTCTGTTGCATTGTTCTTTTTAAGGGTTCCAATGTACAGTGAAGCTAAGCTGGCATTCTTCATTTACTTGTGGTGCCCCAAAACTAAGGTATTCATATGTATAGTTTCTTAATTGAAAATATCAAATGTTCAGTCTTTCCATGGTTTCACCTTTATGTTAATTTAATTTGTTTTTTCATATCGTAAAATTACTGCAGGGAACTACATATGTTTATGATGCCTTTTTTAAACCGGTGATTTTAAAGCATGAGACGGAGATTGATCGAAATTTGTTGGAGTTGAGGACCAGAGCAGGAGATATGTTAGTTTTATACTGGCAGAAAGTGGCTAGCTATGGTCAGACGAGGATTTATGACATTTTGCAGTACATAGCTTCGCAGTCAAATCCACCTCCCCCAACTCAGGTTTTATTAAGATGTGTTTTACAGTTCATTTGCAAGCGCAATCATTTTCAGCATTTAACAAGGTTTTTACTGAATGCTAGTGTTAGACTGTTAGCATCTGAAGATCTTATTCATATTAGAGTAATTGCGTGCTTGTCAATCCGAAATTTGTGTTGTATTTCAAGTCTGGAATTTCCATCTCCAACTTTCTATGATGCATAATTTGAAGGTTAAGGAGTGATGACTCATCGAGGTCGAATAAACCCTTCTGTACAAATATTCAGCTGCTTAACCTTCAGGAGTAAATAATACATTTGTGACACATATGGCTTGGGGTTTCATAGATAGGTTAAATCTCTTTAGTCTAAGCATCTGATCCTCTTTATCACCTTCTTTATCTCTGGGCAACCAGACACCCTGTTGAACTAGTTAGTAAAAAAAAATTCCAACTGGTTTTTCCCATTGTATATTCCTGTATTCATGGCTTAGTTTTTCTAATTATACCGGTACTTTCGAGGTATGACCTAGGGAGGGGGGAGGTTGGGGGTTTACGTGTAGATAATAGCCAGATTATAGATAATATAAGCTGTTGAAATTTTTGGGGATTTGTTGAGTGGATTTGTTCGTTATTTCACTCTAATTAGGATTTGCTACTTAGAGGGTGTTTGGATTGGCTTTTAAGTTGGCCGGATCAGCTTTTAAGCTTTTTTTTCAATAGCTTATTTCAGTGTTTGGCAAAGTCAAAAAGTGCTTAAAATAAGTTTAAAACTGTTTAAAACAAAGCCAAAAGCAATAAGAGGGTGTTTGGATTGACTTTTAAGTTGGTCGGATCAGCTTTTAAGCTTTTTTTAATAGCTTATTTCAATGTTTGGCAAAGTCAAAAAGTGCTTAAAATAAGTTTAAAACTGCTTAAAACAAAGCCAAAAGCAATAAGCTAGGCAACCCCAACTTATTGTTTTTTTGGCTTAAAAGCTATTTATGCTAGAAAGCCACTTTTTTTAAGGCAACCCAATCAGGATCTTACTTTGCCTATTAGGGAAGTATATTTTAATTGGAGCTTGTCATAAATGGGTTAGAATCTGAGGGAAATTTTCGTTGCTGGTGTATTGCCATGCCTCATGTTAACTGCATGAATTGACTTCTCTACCTCCTATACAAAATTGTGCACAGATGTTTAATTGTAATGTTGAGTAGTAATCCCTGTTTTAAAATATCAATGTGTGCTGCCTTTTGAAATTGAAGCCACAAAGGCAAAGCAGTAGAGGTCGTCAACCCACAGCAACACTGAATCGCAGATCAACTGCTCCAGCTGATGAACAAGCATCCCCAGCGTCCTCTGAATCGTCCAGTGAGAATGAGGCAGATGCAATAGAAGACGCGGAGTCATCTAAAGCTCCTCCACCATCTTCCATTGCAGCTGCTTCTCTGAACGCGCAAAAAGCAACTCCATCCAAAACCCTGGTTTCGACTGCAGCTGCTTCTCTGAACGCACAAAAAACAACTCCATCCAAAGCCCTTGCTGAAACGACAAAATCTTCAGCATCTGTTGATACTCAAGTAATGCAGATCGATTCAGTGCCTTCCTCAGCTAATGAAAGTGTTATTAACCCTCCTCCTGCCGAGACAAACTTGGAGGAAGCGAGTCGAGTAACACGTGCCAGATCAAGGAAGACAAGGGCACAAAACCCTTGATTTGTGACATCAAGTACTTCCACATGTTATTCCAAAAATGTGGTTTAAATACGTGGTGTAAAAGGAATTGTTCTAGGTTAGTGAGTTCAATGTACATCTGGCAAATCTTATTTCATTCATTACTTAAGTTGTCCATGATTTTTTAGCATGGATTGAAAAATATAAGGCTTGAGTGGGTAGGACTGCTAGATGAAATTACCTTTCATTATCAAATATCCAAATTAAGGTACTTATGTTTGTGCTCAGCCATTGGAGATGTAAATTCATAATTCCGTATGATAAGATGGGTGCTGGCTTTTAGCTGGTGCTTGCACAGGAAAATGATCATTGTGCATACATATAAACATCTGGTTCTGCACAATAATTTTTCCCTCAAATTGCCCTTCGAAATCCCGATTACATTACTACAACAACATACCCAGTAATTAGTATAATTTCACAAGTGGGGTCTGGGGAGGGTAGTGTGTACGCAGACCTTACCCCTACCTGGCGAGGTAGAGAGGCCCGATTACATTACTGCAGGCACAATTTATTTGAAACGTTAAGTCAAATAAAAAAAAGTATTGACACGATACCTTTCATTTTAATCTCGTTTAGTCTAAACGTTAGAAATGTACATGTAAATGCTATAGCTCATTGCCTCATTCACAATAACCAGAAACACCAAATATTTAAGATCTAGAAATAGTGTACATATTGCAGTTCTCTTCAATATTATCCAGAATCACAGTTACACAACTGCAAACTAACTTGTTTCATTGAATTCATATCCAAGCCTAATACCAACTTTGGGTAATCTTAAGACTTGTATTCCTGTGAAGCATATTGATATAAAAATCTGCATAATTATATGCTGAAGTTGCAGGGTCTTCCCTGAAACCCGGTTATTTCATACTATAATAAGGCTAAAGCCTCAATAAATAATTAACGTTATTTCATAGGTTATCTCCCGTCCTAAACCGCTTACTGATAGTACGTAAAGTTTTGTTTAGATATTTACAGGTTTGTTAGAAGCCTTATTTCTGTGTATCTTCTTGAATCCGTATCTGGAGTTCAATGCTTTAACCAGGTAACTCCACTTTTAAGAATGTTCAATGCCCCATAGATCAGTAGCGCTGACCTCCTGTTCTGAGCGCAACCAGTAATCATCATCTATCTGCAATTTATGGAAGACCATATGTGGATTAGAATCAGTGTTCTTAAAATCGAAAAGCACAAGAAAACATGGTCCACGAGGCTTGAAGTGAAAAGCAAGACGTGAACTTTGAAGTGAATTGCACATTAAAGAATGGCAAACATATATGAACTTAGTACTATAATAATCAAATTGCAATCAAAATAACTATTGTTAGCATCCAATGTACAATAATGCCGATATTAATCCTACTAATCAAAGTTGAGATTCAAAAAGTGACTGCTTATTGATTGGATTGCTGTGTGTTATTATTTGAAGTGCACACTTCTCTAACCACATGATTTAACCCATAAAGCGATATTTGCATTACTTCCGTCGCTTTNGCAACCAATAAATAGAAAGGGGAGGAGAGGGGAGGGGGGGGGTTCAGTCAAATACTTACACTGGCATGAGAAGGTACTATTTTGTGAACACCTGAGAGCTTAGAGGTAGTTGAATCTAAAGAGCAAGGAGGTACTGAGGATAGGTAAGCATCATCCATCTTTTCATCAGCAGTCAATGCATCCAATTGTTTTGTGTGTTTGATGGTTATGTCCTCATGTTTCCAACCTTGTTTGCTGCATGTGTTGATAATCATGTCAGTTATCAGTGCTTTGAAGCTTTTCGCTTATACAGTAGAAAATGTCTTTACTTTTAACAAGAAACTACTTGAAAGAGAATTAGGAAACCTGCCAAGCTATACATGAATCAATAGTTGTTATAAAGATGGAGAGACACTTGTCATCTAGTGGAGATACCTCAGGAGAAACAAATCTATCGGCCCTGTTGTGCTTCTAAGAACAAGCCTATACTGCTTCTCTGGGAAATCGAGATCCTGTTACAAAAAATAATGGGATCAGAGTCTAGACTCCTGTATATTGTTTGCAATTTTCAATGTTGCCAAAGACCAGGTTACTCACCTCACATGGATCAGGAACTTCAATAAGACTAGCATCTGGAGCTTTTATAGCAATAACAGTTTTGTCCTGTGACAAATGCCACAAACACTTTAGAGAACTGAGACACCATCACAAATCACAGATGTAAGAAGTATGTTACATACCCTGAAATGAGGCAAGCTCATGATATCTTCCTCCGTCAGAAGGAGGCTCCTGAAGAGTCGAACCAGATGATTTTAAGAAATTGACCACATTTTCAAAATAGAAAGAATTGCATAAAGAGAAAAAGAGCATACTTCTGACAATTCACATCAGATTCCAGGGTCCTGATTTGCTCTAGTTTTTCCCTGTAATGAAAATTGCTTTCATGCTCACATTCATAAAGTAAAAAACTCAGAAACATTTCTCTCGTTGATGACAAGTTGTTACCAAACCTTATGCAGTTATCAAGTCGCCAATCCTCTGCATTTAGATATTCAATCTCTCCCTGTCATTTATATGGAAAGAAAGGTTCAGTTAAAGAATCAGAATGGAAGAATATACAGAACACCCTCACTCCTTCCTGTCAAAAGCTATTACTAGTAGTTAGGTGCAAACAAATATTTTTGCTTCATCATATTATATTGTTTGCTCCAAGCTCTAACTCATAAGCTTCTTAATATTTAGTGCTTTTGTTTGTACAACAGCTAGCCACCACATTAATCAATTTATAAGCACCTTCAATCTAGATACTTGATCATGCAGCCCTCGGGATCTGGTTGACGGAAACCCTCTGTTAAAGATAAATCCAGGGGTCATTACCATGTAAGGTCGTAAAAAACTGAACCAAATGCACAAGTGTATTACTTCCAACATATACGACTCTTTGTAGTTTTCTCAATTAATCCAATTCCCTCAAGGACATTCGTGATGTCATAAATTCTCCTCTTTGCCACCTGTAGAACAAGAAAATAAATGAATTAGTATCCCACATGAAGTGAAGGGAGCCAAATGAAGGAAAAGAAGAACAAAGAATATTTTCTAGTTCTTACTGATCCACATTCATAAAACCTTTAATAACATGTATCTTCTCCAGATTATGATGCAGGAGAAAGTTTACCTTCAAAACATCTGCAGAATGGTTCAAATCGAGGGATCCATCTTCGGCCTCCTGAAGCAAACTAATGAATTTCTTTGTCAATAAGCCTGCCAGAAAATGGCATATTTATTACTAGCCAATAACTAAAACATCAGCAAAAGCAGAAGCACCTGGTCATATAAATTACATCTAAACAAAGCAGCTTACCCAAAGAGTTGTCAAACCGATAACTGCCACCTAAATTCAGGTTATCAAGCAGATCTGCGTTAAGAAAAAAAATAAAAAGAGAAATTGATACATTAACAAACTTGGCTGGAAAATCAATGCATATTTAGTACTCCATATGATGCCTCATTCTAGGACCTGCATTTATTCCTGTAGCAGCTGATATGGCATCTCTAGAAGCCTTTCCTTTACTGGATTTTTTAGCACGTGCACGAGCAGCTTGTCCAAGGGGAGAATGATTGGCTGCAACAGTCGTCTTACAAANACCCTCAAAAAAAAAAATCAATTGATTGCTATGTTGCGTGGACTCTCCAAAATAGTTGCCGCACCCATGTCAGATCTTCTAAAAATGCACTACTTTTGGAGATCCGACACACACTCATCTATATTTTTGGAGAGTCGGAGCAACATAGATTGATTGTAATGATCAATAACAATACTTGTCTCCCATTAAGCTGAGTCTGTTACAAGCCAAATGTTTTCTGCTACAATTCTTCTAAAATCTAATCCAAACGCACACGTAATCATTCGTTTTAACACAACGTCACAAACCAAAAAGAGAATTCTTTTTGTGTCCAAACACAACTTAGTATCAATGCAATCTCATGTCCTGTTATGATTGTACGATCTCAGAACTGCGAAATGATTAAAAAAGAATCATCATAAACATTTATTAGCAGAAGAATATGTATAATCACCAGTAAAGTTCTAAGAAAGCCTCAGTATAAAGGATTAGACTACTGTAACTTAGCATGAATGGTGAATGCTAAATCATTCAACTGCATGATTATTGCTAGAGGAATTAATAGGATTGAGGTACTAAATAACACAAATTAAGACAGTATCTCCAAAAGTAGCAAAAGATAGAAGAAATTCCACTAATGAAACATGCCGACAAAAAGATCATGACTTAAATTGAGAGAAAAGTTAATTTAACTATAGCATGAAATACAAACTTACAGAAGAAAGCATCGTATCAACGTTTAAATCTTGAATAATAATTTAAATTTTTGAAAATTGTGAAAGTTAGTATAGAGATTGCATAGTCCAATATAGTCCTAACATGTAAACTCTAACATATAAGTTAGAATAGATGATGTATTGATTATAAAAAGAAGGTATCGTTAGTGGAGTAGTAGTTTTCATGTAGCTTTTAAATATATAACATACTTTTTACAATAAAAATCAATGTCTAATCCACGCTAAAAAAAATTACTACCACCTGTCCATATTATTAACTTAAATACTTGACGTTTCAAAAAAAAAGGCGCTTAATGTTCTAATAAGCAAAGTGTTAATTAGGTATCTAAGTGAATGTTTAAGAGAGATAAATAGTACTAATGCATACAAATATTTTGATAATCAAGGTACGTCTTGCTTAAGAAGTGCGCGGGACAGTAGCTAAGTTGAATTTTCCTGCTCTAAAGCATTCAACAACGGAGATACAAAAATTTAAACATAGGGAGAAAAACTAAAACAAAAGAAAAAATATATTAAATAATTTAAACGTGTATAAAATACAAACTAGTACGGAGATCACGTAATTTAAAAAATAATAAAAAGGAGAAAGCTAAGAAGACAAAAATACTCACCGGAGCAGAAACAAATGTAGACGAGGCAAATAAATTCCGAGCTACGGGACGAGATTCTGAGCAAATTTGAGACATTAGATGAAGTGGAGCTAATGATAAGTTGAGATTCAGGTTAAGATCCACGTTTTCGCCGGCGGTAGACATAACCGGCAAACTGCAGAAGCAGATTATCAATCAAACGGCGTTTGAACGGAAAAATTTTGGAAAAGAGGAGGGCTTTGTTGTGGAAGCTTTGAAACAGCGGGAATGGTAAGAGCGTGTAAACTGTGGGGAGGAGGCGCTCAGTTTCGAATCCGAGGGCCCGCCCGCCCACATTTATGAATATATTTAGGAAATTTCATGTGGGCCCAGCTATGGGCCCATACCTCTCTCTTACTTCATACTAATTGTAAACATAGCACGGTATGACCAGTTTTCGGATTTGTCATTCAAAAATAGTCAGCGTTTATGAAATCAATGAAAAATAGCCACTATTTTGCTGCAACAGAGACCGGTCCAGCATAATATACTGGAGTTCGGTGCACCTGTATATGAACTCCATCATATTATGCTGGACCGGTATACTTTGTTGACTCCAGTATAATATGCTGGAGTTCAAGCATACTTATGCTGGAACTCCAGTATAATATTTGGCGTATTTTTCGGGTTTTGAACAGTATGTTCGCTCAGATTTATCTTTACATAAAAAGTGGCTAAATTTCAATTACTTTTGAAACTGGGCTATTTTTGAACGACCAGTTGTAAATCTGGCTAATTTTTGAATTTCTCCCTACTAATTGGGTGGGTGCAGAGTTAAGAGATTGATACATACCACTATTTGTTTAGATATTGATACATACCACTATTTGTTTAGATTTAATTCAGATGGCGAGAATCCAAGGAGAATTTCACATAATCTATAGGAAGTTTTTATTTCCTAATTAATTATTCCATACTTTTATAAAAGAATGTCACTGTTTTCTTATTAATTTATTTTACACATTTAAAAATTAAAAAAATAATTTAACTTAAACTTTCATATTTATCTTTAATGACAATTTTATATAGATACATAAATGTTATGATGAATTTAAGTAGGCGTTTGGACATGACTTCCAAAAACAATTCAAAAAATTTGGAATTTCACTAAAATTTGAATTGAAGATGAAATTGTGTTTGGTTATAATTTTTGCAACATATTTGGATGTCTCTTTTTCAACATATTTTGCAACTAAAAACTAGCAACCTTCCCTTTTTCAAATTTAAAAATGCATTTTCAAGTGAGATAGCAAAAAAATGTAAGATTTTGATAATCAAAAACTGTTTTAAAAAAAATAAGAAAAAGGAAAATTTTCTTATGCCCAAACGGGCTCTAAAAATGCAAGTTTTAAAAGCCTTATCGATACAAATTCCGTGTCTAGTCAAATAATTATGACATCGTATAAATTGGAATTGGAATTAATTAGTACTACCAAACTTGTGGAAGCTTCCAAGGTTGTGCCATGACAAGTGTGTGATAAACTGACACTACTGTTTTGCTTTTGAATTTTAAAAAATGTGAACTAAAAACTAGACGGCACTCCGCGATCTGTTCTACATGTTACTTATTAATATTCCTTACTTATTAATAATCCTTAAACTCACCGTCACTCTCGGGATCCAAAAGTCAAAAACATTGAAGCCGTTAATAGTAATGATTCATATAGCTAACTCCAATTTATTTAAATATTGTTGATGTTGTATATATTTTTTGACCAAACTGAATAGCAGCTCTAAGATTTTGGACTATGTTTGATACAATGTCCAATTACTAATACAAGCAATTACTAAAAGCACATCAAAACTCTAGTTGCATGCAAATATTGTTGAATCCCCGCTTGATGATGATAAAGCTATACGCATCAATTGTTTGGTCAGACAAGTGAGAGGGAGGACGACGAATAGGATATAAGGGGTCATTTGGTACGAGAACTAAATTATTTTAGGATTATAGTCCTACAATTATAATCCCTAGACTAATTTATCTCACCTAGGAGGTTAGATAAAATAATCCTAAGTTGGGTGAGATAAATTTAATCCCACACCTATTATCCCACCTTATCCCGTGTACCAAACAACCCCCAAGAGTTCTACGAGTTACCACTTCATCTTCAAATACTTTATAACATAAGAATTGCTTATTCAACAATACATCAATGAATAAAATTACAACATGAATTACCTTGCTTCTGCTCAAACAGAAGACGAGATAATCCTAAACCATCTATTCTAACAAGACAATATTCTCGAAATTTTGTGGAAATGGCTTTGCCAAGCGACATTATACAGCGAACCACAGAGGTGTCAAAAAATATTATCCTAGTTGGAGCTTGTAACGGGTTCACTGCTAGATATTTTCGTGCCGCTTAGTATATAACCACCAAAAGCACTCATCTGCATATGTGGGTGGGTTCTTGATGGGAGTACCTGCATAGTTTTCTAATTAGCGATTCGGGCAACTAACAAGCTAGCAAATAAAGGGGGGGAAATTGTTAAAAAAATTCGCATCGAGCTATTATAAATTTTCTAAAATCTGCTTGATAGAGTCCCTTGAAGAATGGAAGACAGACTAAAGTTAAGTGATCTTGTAAGTAGGAAGATTTCCTCTTTGTGGGGTGTGGTTTGGGTTTTAATTAAAACAAACCTGATATTCACGTAGCCAAGGTTCAGAAATTTGTAAGCCAATCGCCATTTTCTCAATCTGCAGGTTATGCATACATGTAGCAAGAGGCTGCAATTGAGACAAAGGATCAGTAACTGCTCCAACAGAAGGGACTGTGCTGTGACAGACTGGGGCTCTTATCATTGATCTAAAAGAAGACACACTCACTCACCAACTAATGGGAGAAAAGAGAGTATTTCTTTACAAATCTAGCCAAAATATTATAGTGGAATCATGGAGTAGAACAGGCAACAAAGGATACATTTTCTATCAAAATTGCCTTTTCTGATTGAAGATATGATGGCAAATATTTTCATAGCTTTTTTGTGATAAGATATACTAGGGGTGGCAAAATGATTAAAAGAAAACAGTTAACCACCCATATTATCCACTAAAAATGGGTAACCAATGGATAACAAATGGGTCTAACTTTTACATTTGTAAAGCCTCAAATTGGGGGTTCCTCAAGTTTGGGAGACTGAGAATTCTCCCAAAATGCAAGAAGTCATGGATACCCATATTATCCGCCGGTTAACCCATTTTTTATCCGTATTAAATATGGGTAGGGTCGGATAATTCATCCGTTTTTTCATTACCCATTTTCGACCTGAACCATATCCGACCCGACCCGACCGTTTGCCACTCCTATCCGATACCAATATAGAAAGTCCATTGAAAGACATGATGACTGATGAGTGATGACTCTATAAGCAGAGTGAGATCTTATTGCACGATCTCCTCTCGAACCTTGTATCACTCAAATGGAAAATGAGAACGATACTTTGAAATCTGCTTTAATGTTTTGACTAGCTTACTCATCTTCTACATCAAAATGCAGATAAAAGGAAGTAGACTTACTACAATGGTCACTACAGGAGCCTAAAATCCAACGATTTAAGGCTTTTACAATCAAACATGTTTTTCTAAACTCGATTTGCAGAATATTCTCCTTGACATATAAAGAATGCAGAAGTTGGGCTAATAACAAAGTGGATAAGAAATGGCTTATGTATGTAAACAAAGAATCAGCAGCATGGCAGGCTAAGAACATTAAATAAGTTTGGCCAGCTAAGAACATTACCTGAGCATACTGATGATAAACAGCAAAAGGAGCTGAAAATGCTAAAAGAGGAAGCACTTCTTTAATAATACCCCAAGGGTCCAGCTCTGGAGCAGCAATTATTAGACTGAAAAGAAGAATTGGAAATAAGATAGAATGCAACAATATAACATGGCAAAAGAAAAGAATGGAAACCTAATTATGTTCAAACCTGGAAAAACCATTTTCTTTCCACAACTTGATGGCCTCCGGGGGTGCCTTCTGACCTGGTTTTATAGATTTACAAGGCTTGATTATTGGTGAGGAAACGCTCTCAGATGTTATATCCATGCAACCATGTTCAGATGAAACGCCAACTTCTTCTAGACCGCCAGAATGAGTGGCAGGTAAGACTTCTTCCTGCAAGATCATGTTTTACAGAGAAGAAAGCACATTTAGAAAAGAAATAAATCACACCAGAAAAGGATCAACCTTTGATACCACAACTTGATTTTACCTGACTCTCAGACACTGAAGCTCCAGTTTTCAGTGAATTTAGGTCGGTCAATGATGCATGCACAATTCTAGACCCACAGAAAAACAGTAAATCTAGTTAGCACTAATGCAATAAACATATTTAGATGCTCTTTGGGAAAATGAAACTATAAGCTATCCACTGGAAGATACAGTTTTTTCCCTCTACTAAGTACCAACTCTCCCTCAAAATTTTGAATAGTCAAAATTCTCTCACATATTGTAATTGAATTGTTTTCCTATTTTATCGCAAAGGAAGTGTACCTTTTACAGATCTCATCATTTAAATTAAACATCCTTGTGATATCGACAGGATATGGAGACGATCCACGGTAGGTATTGCACACATAACCTGTACCTGCTAAGATCATTGTCATGAAAAAACTATAGCCATCAACTTCAAAGCAATTAACAGTATTAGACAATACTACATGGTCTCACAACTATGAAGCATTAGCAATGTGTACATCATGACAACCATAAGGTTAGCATCAGTGACAACAGTAGCAATAATCCAGAGGCATGGTACAAATTCCAATAGTATAGGCTGCATAATCAAATTTATGTGCATAAAGTAGTGATCACAAAGACGCCCTTGATGTTCTTAATGTAACTACAGGGAAGAACAAATAAACATACCTCCTAGTCGTTCCGCAATAGCACCGGTAAGAATACCACCGACCATGTCCACTACAAGTACATCTACGTTAGCAGTAACATTCCCTAAGCAGAGCAGTAGAGATAGTGCATCCACTCGCATGAACCTGATGGAATCAAAAAAACTAAAAATCAACCCCCCGCGTACCCAAACCCCAGAATCAAGCAGTGCAAGATGAGCAAGATATGACACACTTGAGGTTATTAAACTACAATGGACATCTGGACAACATACTTATTTATATTCTTAACGTGCATGAGTACTCTCATACCAACAACAAATAACATCAAGGAGCACAAATCAGATTTCAAGATTTCTTGATTCTAAAATAAGTAATCAAAGTCTATCCTTCCTTTTCTCCAATCAAAAGGATAACTCACAACCATAAAACAACAGATGAAGATATTTGATCAAAAGCAAGAGAAGACTATATTATTACCCAATTTTGTCAGAATGTTTCTTGAAGTAGGCCTCACAAATGCTGAAAAGAGCAAGAGATGTGTCAGATATTGAAGAAAGATCGAGGAACACACTGAAAAATCGAGGAACACAACGATTGGGGATTTGCACCAAGAAACCAAATGCAGCATTGTGATTTTCTATGATTGACGTCGGCAGTAGTGAATCGCTTGGGGATTTCGACTCCATGAAATTAAATGCAGAACTATCATTTATATACTTGAAAGAACAACAGAGCAAAAAAAAGTGCAGAACCACCATTGCGTATGATTGAAACGAAAATGATTTTCACCTGAGACAAAAATCATAAAAAGTGAAACGTAATCCAAACCGGGTCTAAAATGCTTTATGCGTGAAAAAGAAATAAGAGGACAGAGTCGGAATTCCACAGAGAAACTGAGTGTTCCATATGAAGGAGGTGGTATGACCTAGTCACAACAAAAGTGAGTTACAAAAAGATCATTGGCAACTAACAAATACTGTCTTCATACCCACTTGGGGCAGTCCGGCAACATTTAGCAATATCTGTAAGTAACTTGTTTAATTTTGATTATGTAAGAGTTTTAGTTCCTAAGCTAGAACCGGCAGTATCTTGTCTCCCCTCCTCTTTCCCAAAACTAAGTTATAGATGAAGAAAATTGGGAAGTAAGTCTAGAATAGAGATATCCAGAATAACAAAAGGAAACTTGAAGGTAGGAATCAACCTTCGTGCAGTGGGACGCCTCACTAGTACTCTAGGTGCATATTTCTTCTGTTTCTTAATCCTGTACTTTTCCTGCGAAACACCGAGTGTTCAGCATATCTTTGCCAAAAAAAAAAAAAATTATCAACACCAAAAAAACGTGAAGCTCACTTGTGAAAATAATGTCTTCTTCTCAAAAGTTGCACTGTTTGCAATGAGTGCTTCAACTATTTCATCCCCTTTTGCTCCCTGCCTGCAAGAGTGAGATTAATACTTTTCTTCGAAGCTGCTAAATGAAGACAAATTCTAGTGCATCTCCAACAACTTTTAAAGCTTGTGCAGCAGTGTATCTTCAAATTCCTTTAAACTGTCTACAACAACAACAACAAATCTTGTTTAATCCCAACATGTGGGGTCTGGGGAGGGTAGTCTGTACGCAGACCTTACCCCTACCTAATGCTGGTAGAGAGGTTGTTTCCAATAGACCCGCGGCTCAAGAAAGGCAAGAAGAAGAAGAGGGAAGCAAGGAAAGAAGAAAGATGGAAGAGAAAAAAGGGAAAGATAAAGGATAAGTATTATCAAATAATAGCAACAGGGAATATAATACCTTCAAACTGTCTGGGGAGGGTAGTCTGTACGCAAACCTTACCACTACCTAATGCAGGTAGAGAGGCTGTTTCCAATAGACCCACGGCTCAGGAAGGGCAAGAAGAAGAAGAGGGAAGCAAGAAAGGAAGGAAGATGGAAGAGAAAAAAGGAAGAGATAAAGGATAAGTAGTATCAAATAATAGCAACAGGGAATATAATACCTTCAAACTGTCAATGAAAATAAAATAAAATCACATAAAAACATGAACCTCTGACAAACTCTCACCTTCGCATCTCGTCAATATCTTCACTAGTGAGACTTTGGGCAGTGTTATTATCAACAATTGCGCGGTTGTCCTTAGATCCATCCACGTCTTTTTTTTCAAGGTTGTTACCTGATAATGAAAATGCACAAAAAGATACTATTAATTCCACATAATTTGCTAAGAAATGAGGAGAGCAATTAGACAAAGTAACACGAGATACATAAGCATATTTCCTTTGGTCTGTCTGTGTGAAGTAACTTGGTCCAAGATCTCTAAACCACCTCTATTATCCTTATCCATTTGTCCCTCTTCAACTGGTTCTTTCTCCCATATGCTTGGGAAGAATAAGCAAGAAATATACTATAGTCAACAAACAAAAGCCAAATAGAAGACTACTTCTGGTTTAACTGAAAAAGTTTGTTTGCATCATAGAAAGCAAGAGCTCGTTCTTTGGCATTATTCAGAAACAGGGTAAGTTCAATGTGGCAAGAAGGTATACCGAATGTAACCACTGAAAGTCATGACCATAGGCAAACAATATCATCAACTGCCGTAGAAATCCTGCATATGATTGTCCTCAGTGTTAAGTAAAAGTTACACTAATCATGCTTGCTCCTCCGAGCCTCGAGAAGTCTATGACGTGGATGATGATCCGTACATAGGATAGAGAATATGTGTCTCTCGAAGGAAGCCAAGCTTTAGAGTATCTCTAATAGACATTATAACTAAAAAGCCTACACATAATAGCATAATTAACTATTCCTAATACTAAGAACTCCCAGTAAATGATTACTGCATACATAAAGAACTGGGAAACCACAATTCACAGCAGATTCAAAAGCCTAATAAAAACAATACCTTCTGCATTCGGAACAAAGCGAGACAAAATGGGTCCTTCTTTTCCAGACTCCACTAGAAACAGAGACCCGAATGGACAACCTATCAGTGGCTGAAGACAACACTTCTTATTCCCAATTTTCAATGTCCTGCATCAACAATTCACCTTCTCCATGAGAATTAACTTTAAAAGCTAGCTTCTTTCACATTATTTGCACAAAAATCAATCAATTATGTCTCAATTTCACAATAACCAATCTAATTAGCTATATCAATCCTCTATACAATATTAAATGCAGCAGACAGTAGATTTTGGTGGTAATTACTTACGAGGCGGCAGTAAGACGGGCAAAAACCAAACGGTCGCCGTCATTGATGTCAAGCAATACATTGCAACCTTCCCATGTTAATCTACTGTTCTGATTTTGATTTGAATCTTCTTCAACTGCTTTATTAATCGACATTATTGGTGTTTATTGCTGGTAAATATTCAATCTTTAAGCATTAAACGACGAAGCAGTAGAGAAATAAGGTCCACTATAGCTTCATCTTTCTGATAGTTTAAACTTTAAACCCTAGAACCCTAACGAAAGGGTTTATTCTTAAAAGTGTAATTTATTAATAGGGATCAGAATTTAAATAAATGAATAACTGGGTAACCAAGTTTTCACTCTTGTGCATTATTAGGGGTTTAACTTTTGGGATAATTCATAAAAGGGTAATTTTTAACTTGCACCCTCTAAATTTTAGATGTTAGATCGAAGCACACCCAAAACTTTTTTTATAGGAACAGAGAACCCCCCATGATTTATGATGGTTGACTTCTAATTGACATCAATGGTCAACCCCAAGCTGGTCAATTTCATATTAAGGGTCTATTCAATTCATGTTAAATCTACACTTGTTTAATCCAACTTGTATATCTTATCTTTTGTTCAGTAGATGTTACTAATATGATAAACAAGATTTTGTTTATTCATTATTTACTCAATTCATTGAATTAAATATTTTCAAAATACTGGCACGATAAAATATTATGATATGATAAATTTTACTATGTGTATATGCATATTTGAAGTGATAAAATATCAAATATTATAGTGTAGGAAGGGATAACTGTTTTGATCAAACTAAATTTTGTAACATAAATTAGATTTCAGATTTTATCAATCTACGGGAAAAAAAATATATGTATACGGTCGAAATCGAGTTCATCTATTGCATGACAGATCGGGATTAAAAAATGAATTGAAGATCGACCACGGATTCCATCGAACCAGGATACGAGATTAGAAAACCCGTCTTCGAGGTTACTGAGTCCATGACCCCCGAATCGACCCCGATTCCAAATGAGCCTGGGGTACATTATCGGACCAGATAACGGAAGGCCGAAATATCTGTAACCGATTGGGTATCACAACGGAAATCTTGGCATGTATCAATGAGGAACCAATTAATTAGCAAACCATGAGATTTTTTTTTTATCTTTTATAGAATTGTACCAAAAGTAGGATTCCCCTACTATATAAAGGGGGTTTGATTATTTGCAAGACATATTGTAACACGTATCCCAAAGCAATATACCATTATTACTAGTTCTTATTATCGCACCATTCTGTTCCGATAGCGATTAAGGCATTTTTGACTCGAGGGTGACTAGCCTTCAATGCCAAGATTGTTCAACTTGTGTGGTTTGCATTTATTTTTCTATCATTAATTTTAGTATTAATGTGATTTCTCAATTTGTATCAAGTTAGATCATGTATCCTTAAAATCACGTATAAATTCAGTTGTTATCTGATTTTGAGGGTAAACAGTTTGGCGCTCACCGTGGGGCTAAAGATAATAGTGGTTATTTTTATACAAATTTTCATAACACACATTATTTCACTCTTGTTATTTGAAGTGTCTCTGATTTCAGGCTTAAGCTCAAAATGTCAGACTCACAATTAGCACATCTACCTGCTAACGATGAATCTGGTCACCACGGTGAAAACAACAACATAGTGCTCGGTAACGAGGTACCGCCCATTGATCCCGTCGGAATTCCAATTGCGGACCTGTTGGACGCTAATTCACATGTGGCTATCGACACAAGCCTCCCTACTGACCCCGAGAATAGCATCTGTGGTGGATCCAGGTCGACAACATAGAATACTCAAAACAATGGAGGAGAGATCAATCTACGGATGATCTTCGAAATGTTATAGGCAACAATAGCTCAGTTACAAAACCAGTGCCGCGTACCGAGCAAAATCAAGCCCAATCCATCCCGAGAGATCACTCGCACGGAGGAACCGATCACGGAAAGGTCGAGTGGAAACGAGTTGGGTAATAACCCCGAGATCATAAAAATCCTTGAGGAACTGACAAAACAAATAGAATCCGGGGAGAAGAAAATCGAAGCAAATGACAAAAAGGTGGAAACTTACAATTCCAGGGTCGATCATATACTGGGAGTGCCGCCGATACTGAAAGGCTTGGATTCCAAGAAGTTTGTACTGAAACCTTTCCCTCCAAGTGCGGCTCTTAAATCGATCCCTAAAAAATTCCGCATGCCCGAGATTCCTAAGTAAAATGGAACGACTGACCCAAACGAGCATGTCATTTCATACACATGTGCCATCAAAGGAAATGACTTGGAGGATGATGAGATTGAGTCTGTCTTGCTGAAGAAATTTGGAGAAACCCTGTCAAAGGGAGCTATGATATGGTATCACAACTTACCCCCTAATTTTATTGATTCATTTGCTATGGTTGCAGACTCGTTTGTGAAAGCACACGCGAGGGCTATCAAGGTCGAAACCAGTAAATCGGACCACTTCAAAGTAAGGCAAAAGGATAATGAAATGCTCAGAGAGTTCGTATCTCGGTTTCAAATGGAACGGATGGACCTTCCACTAGTCGCTGATGATTGGGCCGTTCAAGCTTTTACCCTAGGGTCAATGTTCGAAGTTCGATGGATTCACAGTAGTTGAAGTAGAATCTGATAGAATATCCGGCTGTCACTTGGGCTGATGTGCATAACCAATATCAATCAAAGATCAGAGTTGAAGATAATCAACTGGGGGCTCCTTCCGGGTCCGTTTATTCCATTAGACCCATCAACAGAGTCAAGAGAGATATCGACCGTGAACCAAGGCCGAACAGGGATCGGTATCAGCCGTACAATGAAGATCGAAGAAATAGTGCATCTAGACGGGGTTTTATGCGAAATGAAAGGAGAAATCACTGAGGCTAGAGTAGTTTGGGACTCATGAGCAAGAACGGTTTCGACATGCCTATCGGGCCTAAAGAAGCACCAACGTTATTAGAATATAACTTTAACGTTGATGTTGCTGCCATCGTATCAGCTATCGGACGCATCAAAGATACCAAATGGCATCGTCCTCTACAATTTGACCCAACCCAAAGGGATCTAAATGAGATGTGCAAATATCATGTCACCCACGGCCACAGAACATAGGATTGATGATAATTGAGGGAGGAGGTAGCCCGGTTATTCAACAACGGGCATCGTCGAGAATTCTTGAGTGACCGAGCCAAGAATCAGTTCAGGAATAGGGACTATAATAAACAAACCGATCTAGAAGAACCTCAACACGTCATTCACATGATCATCGGAGGGGTTGATGTTCCTCAAGGTCCGATGTTAAAGTGTACCAAAGTGTCTATAACGTGGGAGAAACAAACTCGAGATTACATACCAGAAGGAACTTTGTCTTTCAGCGACAAAGACACAGAAGGAATCGCGCATCCCCATAACGATGCATTGGTAATATCTGTACTCATAAATAAATCTCGAGTTAAACGTGCGTTAATTGATCCAGGTAGCTTGGCCAATATCATTCAATCAATGGTCGTAGAACAACTCGGCCTATAGGACCAAATTTTACCTGCTAAACGAATTCAACATGGCTTGTGAAACTACTAAGGGAGAAATAATATTACCAGTAAACGCCGCCGGGACCATCCAGGAAACCAAGTTTTATGTGATTTAGGGGACATGAGGTACAACGTGTTGTTTGGGAGGCCATGGATCCATAACATGAGGGTAGTGCCCTCGACTCTTCATCGGGTGTTAAAATTCCCAATGCCGGGAGGGATTAAAATGATCTACGGGGAGCAACCGACCGCAAGGAAATATTTGCAGTCGAAGAAGTGATTCTGGTATCAACACTGGCGACATCGAAGGAACTCAGTTCGAATACAAAGCAGGAAACTAAATAGCAATTATCGACACCAGCCACGACCCAATCGGGCAAACCGAGGACCAATGAAGACGATGATTACGAGGTTCTCAGAACTTCTATAGTCCCCGATAATTCCAATGCTACAAAATCAATGGTCGAAGAGCTGGAGCAAGTCACATTGATCGAACATCTACCCGATCAGAAGGTATATCTGGGCACGATGTAACCCCCGAGCTCAGGAAAAAATTCATTCAATTTCTTATAGCTAACATATATTGTTTTGCTTGGTCCCATATCGACATGACAGGGATCCCACCGGAGATAACCACTCACAAGCTGAGCCTGGACCCGAAATTCCACCCGATCAAGCAGAAAAAGAGACCCCAGTTTGAGATCAAACATGCTTTTATCAAGGACGAGGTAACTAAACTCTTTAAAATGGGGTCCATTCAGGAACTCAAATACCCAGAATGGTTAGCAAACGTAGTAGTAGTCCCTAAAAAGGGAAAAAACTGAGAATGTGTGTAGATTATAATGATTTAAATAAGGCATGTCCAAATGACACTTTCCCTTTGCCCAACATCGATCGCATGATCGATGCCACGATCGGCCACGAGATCCTCAGTTTTCTCGATGCCTACTCCGAGTACAACCAAATACGGATGAACCCGAATAATTAGGAAAAAACCTACTTCATCGCTAAGTATGGCATATACTGCTATAACGTGATTCTATTTGGATTAAAAAACGTTGGTTCCACTTACCAACGCCTAGTAAATCAGATGTTCGAAGAACAAATAGGGAAATCGATGGAAGTTTACATTGACGATATGTTGGTTATGTCCCTACAAGCAGAGGACTATTTAAAACATTTGCAGGAAACCTTCAGTCTATTGAAGAAGTACAACATGAAGCTGAATCCGGAGATATGTGCATTTAGGGTCGGGTCAGGTAAATTTCTCGGGTTCATGGTATCCAACCGAGGAATCGAGATCAACCCCGACAAGATTAAAGGTATCGAGGATATCACGGTAGTGGACAACATGAAGGCCGTGCAAAGGCTAACCAGGCGTATTGCCGCCCTGGGGCTATTCATCTCGAGGTCCTCCGATAAGAGCAACCGATTTTTCTCATCACTGAAGAAGAAAAATAGCTTCACATGGACCCCGAAATGCCAACTTCACATCCACTACTCCACATGCCGAAGGTAGACAAACAACTATACTTGACTTGGTAGTATTAGAGATAGCGGTAAGTGGAGTCCTAGTTCAGGAAGAACAAGGTACGCAATTTCCAATTTATTATGTTACCAAGACACTAGGTGAGGGCCGAAACTAGGCACCCTCACCTAGAAAAATTGGCGCTCGCTTTGCGAAGTGCCTCTAGGAAACTAAAAT